TTCTGCAGGCTGAAAAATTCAAAAGCATAGTGCCACATCTGGTCAGTTTCTGGTGAGGGCCACGTGCTGGCTCAAAATATGGCAGAGAAGCAGAAAAGTCAGTGGGTAGGTGCAAAGAGAGCAAGAGAATGTCTAGGAAGCAGAACTTGCTTTTAACAACAGTCAATCTCTGGTAACTAATCTAGTCCTGGGAGAGTGAGAATGAACTAGCTCCAAGAGGGCATTGATCCATTTGTGAGCGAATCTATCGACATGACCCAAATACCCCTACTAGGTCCAACCTCCCAAAATCATCATGTTGGGGATCAAATTTCAATGTGAGCTTCCAGGAGGACAAACTCAAACCACAGCAGTAGTGTTACATTAAGTCTCAGGGCTGGTCACTGCTGCTGGAAATTAATCAGCAGTGGCAGTAGCCACATCTTGGCGAGAAGTCCTTGTTGGGCCAGTGCATTGTTTCTGTCTGTCTCTGCAACCATTGTCTATGGGGCCACTGAGCAAGCACCAGGATGGCTGGGGAAAAGGTAGGGCACTGGGCAGGCAATCTTCCACCTACATACTTAGAACCTCCTACACATTATGGCCTCTTGAGACTATTCCAATAGGACACATATATTCACCTATATTGGGGTTTAGTATAAGATGTCCATCCACATTCCTCTTCCCAAGACCTTCTTTCATGTCCCTGACCATCCATCTAAACTGACACTCATGAGGATGACATGGTGAGGATCTGCCTCTGAGGCCATCTCTCCTTCCAGGAAAAGTACATAATGTGGACCACTCCAAGTCCTGCTCCCTGGGAGGATATCCTTTCCCCACTGTCTTTCACTGAGTGGGGCTGCAATTAAATTCCCACAGGTGCCAGCAAAACTCGCAGAGTCATCTGTAAGCCATATTTGACTTTTTTCTCCTTGGTGAACTGCGCACTGGAGATTCCCCATGAGACCATGGCTATGAGGGAAGGGTGAGTGTGGCAGGAGGCACACTGAGAGGAAAAAGCACTGACTGCCCCTGCAGCTCATGAGTGCAGTCAGCCATGTGGAACTCAGTGCTGATATATACCACTCCCATCTGATGAGGATGTGCTGCTGGGTAGGGTCCATGCGACTTTTGGCTTGGTGTGTCATTACTTCAAGACGGGCAGCTTAGGTCACATGGTCACCTAGTGTCCCATGGTCAAGCCCTCAGAAGCAAGTCCCAATAGCAAGTCAAGAGTTATTTCCAAAAGGAGAATAATTACTTGCATAAAAGAGCTTGGCTTTGCTCCAAAAGCTAAGAGGCTGCAGCTGTGCTTCCTCTACTGGGATTTGCTGCAGGCTCCACACACCCTCCAGGTCGGCCCCAGTTGCTCTGAGCACCATCAGATCTCCTGGGTCTCTAAGGGCATTAGGGAGCTGCTTACAGTAGGGCTGGACCAACTGGAGAGCCGTCTCTTGCCCGCGCCACAATTAATAGTAGAAGAGTCAGAGCAGCAAATCCAAAGCTTATGTAGGCTGCCTTCAGATGCCAGAGAGTTCCATCAACATCTGTGCCTTTCTCAGTGGTGGCACTAACATCTGCAGCTCCTACAAATATATGGTATTGCCTTTGCCTATTTTGGTTGGAAGGGGAACCTAAGGAGTGTGAAGCAGCCCTTCCAAAAATCTATACCCTTACTCCATGGATCAGAAAGCCATTATGGGTATTCCGCAACTGCTGAGGGTAGCTATTCCAGCTACAGACTCAGACACTGGGTAAGTTACTGGATGGTTTTTCACTGAGAAAGTTGAAGTAGTTGAAAGAGAACTTCCACAGTCTACCACCACCACATCCGCCCACCTTCCAGCATCTGCTCCCACTTATAATCTGTTCTCTTACAACACGTGTTTCTGTAATGGGCATTAAATCGAATATTGCTAAGTAAGGAGATGATGTCACTCTGATGTGGAAACTGGGTTGGTTCATATATGATTTTTTCTCTTTAGCATGTTAAAGCTTTGTGTCACCAGACAGGAGCAGTTGAATGCGAAGGATGCCAATGGAATGAGCTGAACGAACACGGTGTGGATTAAGGCACTTGTTCTGGTTCACAGGCTTTTTCTGGTTCATCTTGGCCGCAGGTTCTGCCTTGGCCAGGCAGACAGTGCCGGTTGTGTAACTCAGCATCTCCTTACCCTTCTTTATGCCTAAGTCTATCAAGGTGACACTGCCCTTTTCTTGAAAAGGTGAAGTCCTTATTTACTTACATATTTCTTAGAAATAAAACGTCTTAACTGTGCCAATATTTTTACTAAGATTGGTGTTTCTGTTAGTGTTCAGGTTGCAAAACTGGATGTTTGCAGTGGTTTGCCCTAACCAGAATTTATGTTTTTTTCATAAATTCTGTTATTTTTAGTGCATAAATTTGAGGATGAAAAAATTTTTAGGAGCATATTTATACTATAGCTGAAATGTCTGCATGCTGTCTTCCTACCTGTAATCGTGACCAAATTATCATGTTCCTGTCTAAAGTTAATTCCTCCAATTGTGGTCTGCATTTTATCCTCTTATTCAAGAACATTGCTCTAGCACTTATCCCTTTTTTCCTATTTCATCATCTTTCCATCTTTCCTGGAATTCTCTGTAACATAAAAAAAGGTACTTCTCCCAACAAATCTTTCTCTTGCTTCCACATTCCTTACCAATCTACTACTCCTATTTCTTTGCTTACCTGTTCTACAAAACTAGTTGTAAGAACTGTCTATGCTCACTATCTACAGCTCTTTTCCTATTTTCTCTTAGTATAAGATGTCCATCCACATTCCTCTTCCCAAGACGTTCTTTCATGTCCCTGACCATCCAACTAAACTGACACTCATGAGGATGACATAGTGAGGACCTGCCTGGTTTTGCAGTCTGGTTTTGCTCCCCTTCCATTCCACTGAAATCCCCATAGTCAAGGTCATGAAGGACCCCCTCACTGCTAAAGCCAACGGTCAATTTTCAGTTATCTTACTTGGTCAGTCAGCAGCATTAATAGGGTTAAATACTCCTCCTCTATACCCTTTGTTCATGTTTTCCAGGCAACCACACTAGGTTTTCTATTTCACTGGTTGTTCCATCTCAGTTTTCTCTGGAGATTCCTCTTCTCCTCCCAACCTCTCAGTATTGGAGGAATTCAGGGCTCAGCCCTGGTCTTTTTCTCCTATTTCCAATCCTTTGGTGATCCCATCCAGTTTCATGCCACCTAAATACTGAAAATTCCCATAACGTATCTCCAGAGCAGACCTTTTTTCTTAAACTGCAGACTCACATATTCAATTGCCTAATCAACATCTCCACTTTGTTTAATGCATATTTCAAAATTAGCAAGTCTAAAACTGTCTAGCAAGCAAGTCTAAACAAGATCTGCTAGTTTAGACTGTCTAGACTAGTCTAAATTAGGCTGTCTAGCCTAACAAGTCCAAAACAGAACTCTGATATTTCTCACCAAACCTGCACCCTCTGCAGCCTTTCCTCTCTTAGCCGATGAAAACGCTATTGTTCCAAGTTCTTGGCCAAAAGTCTTCTGTCATTCCTGTCTTCTCTCCACTTATCATACCTCACATCTAACACATCAGCAGATCCTTCTGGTTCTACTTTCAAAATACATCCAGAATCCATGTGCCTCCTACCAACACTACTGTTACCATCCTGGGGCAAGCTACCATTTTCTTTTGCCTGAATTATTGCAAAAAACTCCCAACTGATCTCTTTACTTTCACCCTTCTCTTCCTACAATCAATTTGTAATATGGCAGCTACAGTATCATTTAAACATAGTTAGGTGACATCACCTATTCAAAACTCTTTCAGTGGTTTTGAGTAAAAGCTAAAGCCCTTAAAATAGTCTTCAAGGCCCCATCTGATCTAATACACCACTTCTACTTGCCAACCATTACCTTGTTAACCTAATCTCTCATCCTCTATCTGCTGTATCCACTAGATGCCAGGATTATCTCTCTTCTCTCTCAAGTTGTGGTAATCAAAAATGTCTGCAGACGTTACCGTATGTGACCAAAAGTCGCCCCTGACTGAGACCCTTGGCTTTAACCCAAGGAGTAAGGACTGCAGGAATCTTGCTTTTTCTTTGAGTTGTGAAGTTCTACCAAAAGTAGACAGCCCGCCCCATAGTGCTTGTATTCCTCAGGTTTTTGATGTTTCCCAGAGCGTCAGGTAAGCACAGGCATTATGAACTGTTTCACCATCACATGCCATTCACTTTCTGTAACACTAGCTGTATCCTCACTGCCTTTAACGCAACCAAGCCAGATAACGATAACGAATTCACATTATTGGGGGCCTCTTGCTTGAAACCCCTCAGAGTATCAATCGCCATTATCAGAATCCCAGCTGTTAACAACACAACCAAATTTGCTTAGTTTGAGCACAAATGAAATGCATTCAAGATTAGAAGGTGGCTCTCAGTACTTCCTAGGAAGGCAAGAGAGAGAAGCTGAGTGGTGGCTACCTAGCCAAGGGCAGTGCTGAAACCTCAGGAGAGGAATGTCCTGGTGAAGACCGCTTTGTGCTGCCACTGGGTACAAATGCCATGGTTTGTACATGGGCGCACCTGATACCAGGGGCCCAGGTTGCCACACCCTAGCTGGAAAACGGCTTTTATGACTTCTGCTTTGGAGAGGTGATTCACAGGGTGGAAAATTTCCCAAACATAGGAGAGTTGTTCATATACCACTACAGCTGCCAATAAGTTGAACAATTGTATCAGACTATTGAAAAAACTTAAACCAGAGCATATATTCTCCTCACCTTACTGTTGCTTTTTCTCAGGTAGTAAACATAAGAAACAAACTGAATTTCTACAAATAAGGGTGAGGTGACAATCTATGAATGCTTTTAGAAAAAAAGCAAATTTCATTTTCCATCATGTTTTGAAGGATACTGGCTTAATTCAGTTATTATTCTCACTGTTGGTTTACAGAATAAACATATAAAATGTATTGCAAATACAAATTATTTTCATTCCAATGGAGAAGAAAATTACAGGCTCAAAAATCAAGTTTAATATCAAAAGAAGTTACATATAAAGGTTTTTACATTTCCGAAAATCTGATTGTTAAATATCCCTAGTCTGGTATTGATTGTGATACACTTAGGTGAACCCCTGAAAACTTTTATTTTGAAATTGAAGTTTTTGCTAAGAAACTGGGCAGAACTTTTCACATTCTGACAGAATATAAAACTTAAGTCTAAAAAATATTCGGTAACTTTTTTGTCAAAAACATTAGGCACTTTAGAATATAAAGCAGAAACTCTTACCAAGCACGTGTACCCAACAGCCACACCTCCCGTCTTTGGGGGAATTTGGTTACCTGGAGCTCTGTGGGTACTATATGAATCCTAGAGACAGCAAACTTCTGCTGTACAGCTAACTTACAAGGGCCTGAACCCGGCTGATGGCAGCAAGCCTGCTATAGTCCAGAAGAGTGCGACTTCTCATATTTACATATGAACGCATCCGTCTTTCCAAGGCTAACTTTGTAGCATTCCACTGGTACCAAGGAGCCAAATGGTGACATTCTGTCTAAGAACTCGTGGTTCCTGGCTTCGAATGAAGTTGACACTATCTTGGATGCACCAGTTTTTTCTTCAGGATTCAAGCACTTTTTAATTCCAGGTTCATCTGTGTGACTGTCCTTGGAATTGAAAGGGATGCTGCTCTCTTTACAATCTGTAAGGCGCCTGTGGTGATCTTCACTAAGCAACAATACAATGGTTCCGCCAACATGAAGCACTCTGACAAAAAAAAATGGTAATTGCTATCTTTCTCCCTTTCTAGACAACAAACAATCCCACTTCATTTAAAATATTTCGTGTTTTTAATTTGAAATTTAATTTTATCCATTTAAATACAAGGATTTTTGATAATTAGGTAGTATCTTCTATAATGTATATTCATTATAGTAATTATGAAATCCCTAGTACAAATCTGCTTTAATTATCTATTTTTACTCCACTTAAAAGGCAAGCCTCAAAGTAATTTGTAGTCACAGTCTAATAAATGATTGTACAAAGGAAAAGGCGAATGACAGAATCCTGAAGACTGCATGTATTAAAAGCAGTAGGCTGACAGCAGAAGAAAGTTAACAGGGAAGAGTTAGGACACGAACAAAGAAATGGCAAAGCAAAAATCAGAAAAAGAAGGGCAGATCTTGAAATGTCAGCTTTTTGAGGAGAATGCATTTACTCAATTATCAAAGTCTGTGTAGCACTTATGTGGAAAAAGTGATGAAAACACTTGCCTGTGTCCCGCACACAGCCCTGGAAGTTGCTAAGAGATCACTGAACATCTCTTTGGAAGAGAGAGGCAAGTAAAGGGAGTGAAATGCTACAATCAAGGCAGGCACAAGGGGCTTGGGAACATGAGGTGGGTCCCAAACCCGGGCATGGGAGAAAGGGGAGCATTTCCCAGAGGAAGATACCTGTGCTGTGAGTTAAAAGATAAGCAGGAATGAGCCAGGCAAAGCGACGGCAAGCGGCTGCAGCAAGGGAGGATGCTGGAAGCAGAAAAAGCAGCAAAGATGGGAGGAAGTAGAGGGGAGGCAGCTCTGAAAGCAGCTCAGTGGGTGGGTGAGTCAGAGCGGGTGGGAGGTGGAGGGAGGAGGGGAGTAAGGAGTTCAGCTTGGAATTTGCTGATGTACCTAAGGAACACGTAAGTGTGGATTCCACCAGACTGCTGGATACACAGCCTAGAGTAATGGAAAAGACCAGGCCTTGAGGTAAAGATATAGTAAATGGTAGCTAAAGCCATAATGGTGGATGGGATCATCTGGGGTGGCAGTACAGGTTGAGAAGAGAAAATGGGACAAGGAGCTAGAGATTTCACGTTTTAAAAGTGACAGAGGAGAAGATCCATGAAATAGACATCCTCAGAGAAAATCTGGACAATAGTGATGTCAAGGAAGCCAAACAAGTACAGTTTCAAGAAGGAAACAGTTTCAACAGTGTTAAATGCTATAGGGCCGGCATGGTGGCTCATGCCTGTAATCCCAACAGTTTGGGAGGCTGAGGCAGGAGGATCGCTTGAGCCCACGAGTTTGAGACCAGTCTGGGCAACATGGCAAAACACATCTCTACTAAAAAAAACACAAAAATCAGCCAGGTGTGGCAGCGTGTGCCTGTAGTCCCAGCTACTTGGGAGGCTGGGATGGGAGGACTGCTTGAGCCCAGGGGGCAGAGGTTGCAGTGAGCTGAGATTGCACCAGTGCACTCTAGTCTGGGCAACAGAGAGAAACTCTGTCTTTAAAATAAAAAATATATAAATACAATAAAATAACAAATGCTATAGGACTAATAGGTGATCAGGATTATGAGAAATCATCAGTGACCCCAGGGACAGCAATCCTAGCTGAAGGCAGGAGCAGATGCTCGTCTGCCAGGGTGGAGTGGGACTGGAAAGTGAGGAAGCAGAGGTGTCAAGTGTAGACTATTATTTCAAGAAGTTCAGCTGTACAGGCGAAGAAACAGAGTGGCAGCTAAAGGACCAAGAGTTAAGTGGAATCTGCCTCATGCCCAGCAGAAATCTAAGAAGCTTAGGTAGCATTCCCTAGTCTAATCCATCAGCAAAGCTACACAATTCTGTCTCTAAATTGTATCACATATTTGTCTACTTCATTCATAGTTTGCCGGGACCACAGCAACAATCTGGTAGACAGGTCTTGTTTCCATTCTTGTCGCCCCTCCCACTCTGTCTTCCATTTCCACACAGAAGACAAATGTAAATTCTCTGCTAACTCCTCAGTTGCTCGCACTGTACTTCAAATACATTCTAACCCCCTTACTCTGGCAACCAAGGTTCCTACACAATCTGACCCTCACCTACCTTTCTGATGTCACAGCCTGCTTTCTTTGCTTACTGACCTCCTTCAGCTGCTCAAACTCACCAAGTTGCTTCTCACCGTGGGACATTTGGACTTGCTGTTCACCCCGCATTTATCACTCACGCTCATCATTCATGTCCCACAGTCAAATACCACTTTCCCAGAGAGGCCTTTCCTGACTACCTAGCTAGGGTAACCACTACTTTTCTCTCACTCTAAAGCAAAACACTTTGTTTTATGTCCATCACAGTACCAGTCATGATCTGATATTATCCAGTTTGTTTACTGATTAACCATCTGTCTTCTCACAATGAATGGGCAGAGACCTTGCCTGTCCTATTCACTGCAGTAATCCCCAGGGCCAAGTACATGGAAGTGTATAGGAGATGCAAAGACTTCCAAACGTGTCTGGGGAAGGGATAAATGAATCTCCTAGAAAGAACCAGCAGATGAGTAGGCAGAAGATAAAAATGAGAAGTGGGCAGAGTGTGATCCTTGAGGAGGAAGGAACTGAGAGGATAAACCCTCACAGGAAGAGGGAAACCTCTTCTACTGAGCAAGGAGGAAGTGGATGGGAAAATGAGTACTCCTGAAGACATCAACTGAAATAACTTTTTGGGGCAACAGTTTAGCAATAATGTATCAAAAATATGAAATGTGCATAACCTTTGACCCAGCAATCTCACTTCTAGGAAATTATCCTAAGAAAACATAATAGTAGAAGTGGTAGTAGAATAATAGCGATAATAATGGTGATACAGCTAATATTTATTGAGGATTTAATATGTGCCAGTCAGTTGGAAATGCTCTGTATTATATATCATTTAACCTCCAGAATTATCTTTCTAAGTATGTTCTATAGCATTGTCATTTTGCAGATGAAGAAACTGGTACTGTGGTGCTTGGTCGTACAGTTAAGTTTGAAAAACCATGCAAGGATGTTCAAAGAATAGTTTTTTATTAAAATAAATTGAGGATTATCTAAATATCAATCCATAAGCACTGGTTGCATAATGGTACATACATATAATGTGGCAACCACTGAAAATTATAATGTATATTATAACAACTGATCAGAAAGGAGATTCATGACACTGCTGAGTAGAAAAAAAGCAATGTTACAGTATAGTAAGTTAAGGATCATCCCATTTATGTAGAGTAGAAAACATGTATCTTTTTGTACATATATACATGGTAAGATGCCTAAAATTTTCTCTATCTAAAACACACGGCTCATATTTTAAATTGGTGACCCATTATTTACACAGCAGGCTCTTGACATTTATGTTATTAAATGCCCACCTAAACAATTTAATATCAACTGAACTCTTATATTCATGTCCATTCATAACTATATGCATTCTAGGTTCTCTTCTTTACCAATTTAGACGATCAGAAAAATGCATATCCATGCCTCATTGTTTCAACCTCTCAAAGAAATGCTTCCATTGAATTATATTCCCTTACGTCATTAGAAACCATAAGATGAATACTTTCACATTTTCATTTCACAGCTGCTATAGTTTGGATGTTTGTCCCACTATACCTCATGTTGAAATTTGATCCCCAGTGTTGGAGATGGGGCCTAATGGGAAGTGTTTGGGTTACGTCGGCAGATATCTCATGAATTGATTAATGCCCTCCCTGTGAGGGGCGATGAGTGAGTTCTCACTCTATTAGTTCTAGGGAAAGCTGGTTGTTAAAAAGAGCCTGGCACCTCGCCCTTCTCCCTCTTGCTTCTTCTCTTGCCATGTGATCTCTGCACACTGGGTTTGCCTTCTGACATGAGTGGAAGCACCCTCGGGCCCTCATCACAAACTGAGCAGATGCTGGCACTGTGCTTCTTTTACAGACTGCGGAATCACGAGCCAAGTAAACCTGTTTTCTTTACAAGCTGTCCAGCCTCTAGTACTCCTTCATAGCAACAGAAAATGGACAAAGACAACAACAAATAATAAAGGTGTTGCTCATTCTATGTTATGGAAGGTTCTTTATGTAACAGAATTTTGTTCTGTTGTTTAGCAGCTGAGTGATCATAAGAAAGTTAATCTTTCCGTGCCCCAGATTCTCATCTGCTACGTGTGGTGGATTAACACACAGAAGGCAGGTTTTTTTTTTTTTTGTGAGGGATAGAAGCAAATATGTAAAATTTTGCTTCAGACCACTGAAATACAGGTCACTATTTCATACATTCAAATCTCAGTACATAATAGAAAATTAGTATTTTTTCTGAATAAAATTTATAAGATGATATGGATAACATTTATTTCAATTATAAACTTCTGACTTAAAACCCTTAGAAAATTAAGCTACAAAAACTCTGGGAAATTACTATAAGGCAATCAGACCTTAACTGAAGAGCTATGATGTATTTCGGTTAAATGCCCAGTAGCTAAAAAAATTATGAAAATAAATTCAGCAACTTACCTTTCCATTTCTTGTAGAATGCTTTTGATGTCTTTTCCTAACTTAAACTTTTTCCCAAATGGAATGTCAGAAATAATAATATCAACACTTTCTGAAGGCAATGGCAATTCTGAAATACAGAAATCAGAGAATCCTATTACAGTAAGGTCAAATATTTACAACCTAAATAATGAGAAAACTGAAGTACACAGGATTATTTTTGCATAATAGATAAAATTTAGGGTTGCTAATATTGTTTTAAAGTAATTACAAGATCCCAAAATGCTTTCACAATCACTAATGATAAATGATATAGTTATTGTAGTCTGTTCGTCGAAAATTGGTTTTTCAGATACAATAAAATGTAAGTTAAGCAGAATTTTAAATTAACCAGAAAACTCAATTCTCTAAATATACAGCTTGTATAGAAAGCTGCTAGCTCCACTAAGTTGCCTAGAAAAATCTTCTACAAAATTATATTCTACAACTTTCATTTCCTATTTTAAAACTGTACATTTAGATCTACTTGTTTTTGAGGGAGACGACCCATAGCTATGATTGTATTTTTAAAGGAGAACTTGGAAGGTTAAGAATATCTATTAAGTCCTAAGACTAGAGAAAAGGCTATATAATCAATAATCAACACAATGATTATCACTAAAAATTATTGTGTCTGATTATTCTAAATTGCTTTATTATCTTAATGTTTTCTTCTCAGAAGTTACATTATCAGAAGGTAACAAAGACTCTACCCTAACATCCACATCTTCTGGATGTACTTTCCACTTTTTACTTACTTTACTCTTCTCATCCATCTCCTAAATTAAGTTAAATACTCAAAAGACGGATGTCCCAGTTTTCATTTTGAATAGTACCTAATTTTGCAGAAATGTAATGAAATTTAAATAATCTTCACTAAATATCAAAAGTTTCTGTTGGTAGGAAATTTAATAAAAAATGCTTTGTAATCTGGGAAAGTCTAATGACTACTTGGCTAGATCTCTCCTAGTTCTAACCCTTATGTGGGGTTAACAGAAGAAGAGTAGATTGTTCAAAAAAAAAAAAATAAGAGGATAATATTCTTTTAAGCTGAGACAGGAATTCCTTTTTTCCAAGTTATGTTTTAACCTCATGGTTTTAGGGTGTTGATATAGTACACATCCATTTACAAAATGACTAAAGACAATATATGAACAATGAAGGCAACCATAGTTCTCAAATGTTTTATTTATGAGGAAGCATGTAGTAATTTACTTTTGAATTTAATCCCAAGTCTGTCTTTTGCCTTACACTACACAGAAATACAGTACCTACATATGAGTTAGCTGCCCATTATGTCCAGGTTTAGTAACACTAATTTTTTTCTTCTGGGTCTCCATTTTTATTGGGAACTTTGCTGCTCTATATTATATAATATGCTAAACTGCTTTAAATAATTTTAGAAGTTGAATACATAAACTTCATATAGATAGAATAATTTTTAAAAAAAAATCTCCAGAACTAAGTTGTGTCATCTTCCAATACAGCATAAAATAAAGCTTTTGTTGATGTGGCTGAGAGCATAAGCTCTGGTGTCAGACAGCTTGCATTTGGCTCTGCTGCTCACGAGCTGTGGGACTTTGGGAAATTACTGCTTCAATTTCTTCATCTGTAAAATGGAATAAGAATATGTACCTCAGAAGTCAATAAAAGAGGTAATATATGGAAGACATGTAACAGGGCCTGGCACAAAGTGAGCACTCAGTAACTGTTAGCTGCTTTGTGGTCATTATTTATAATGTCCCTCTCTGATGTCAATGGGAGATGACAGCCAGGTGGAAACCAGTGCGCCATCCTTCAGAAAAGCTTTGCAGAACACAGTATCCCCTTCTCTCTCATTCTTGGACATCCAAAGTTGAGGTAAGGCAACTACTTCCAGGTGGGCCTCTCTCCTACTCTCCTTTCCTCTATCAGTGGTTCTCAAAGTGTGGTCCCCACAGCAGCAACGTCAGTATTATCTGGAAAGTACAACTTAGTGCGTATTAGAATCAACTGAAAGGTCTTTATAAAACAGATTGCTGTCCCCACCTCCATACGTTTAGATGCAGATACTCCTAGAACCGGGAGCACCTGACCCATACGACTCAACATACAGTAAAATCTTTTAAATTATTAGATGCTCTGAATACTGCTCGTGAACAAAAAATTTGCTTGTAACTAATGAGCTAAGATTCTGAAATAGAAACATAGCTCAAAACAAGTAAAAATCATCTCTTTTTTACATCTCTGCAGGATGATTCAAGAACATGAAAAAAATTTAGTTTTAAAATACCAGTTGTTTTGAAGAAAGAAAAACTGCCCTATTTTTCCTACTTCCAGGAGAAAAACGGGTAAAAATTTCCTAAACCTCAGGATTATGGCCCCAAGATACTTTCTTCCAAAGGGATTTATGGGCCTTCAAGATGTCTTTTCATGCATATATTTAGACTAAAGACCAGGTTCATTGAGCACTTTTATAAAATTGAGCATATCCTTCTTCCTATTTTTGTTCCTTGTTCTTTCTGCTGTTTATTCTTTCTATTGTCCAGGTTTATAATATTCAGATTCTGTCTCCTAACAGTAATTCCCATAATTGTTCAAACTTAGTTCTATAGTTAATTTCATCCTTATCACTAATCATTTTGCCTTTATTTTCTCCATTTCTCAGCTGATTAATCTCTCAATCCCTGGAATTAAATAGTTTTCCCCATAAGGGCTTAGTTGTGAAATGTTGTCTGAACTTTTTCATATTTCAAAATGTTTGGCTTTAAGATGATGTTTTGGTTAGGCATAATATTTTTGGGTCACACTCTGCTTCGGTAACTTTGTAAATAACCACTCTTCTATTGTCAAATGCTCTGTAACATTTTCTTTCCATTGTGGCCAAAATATATTTTGAGGTTTATTGCATTAGATTGTGACCTTCTCTTGTTTGGTTGCTGAATTTGTTTTTTTGATGATTACTATTCTTTTTCTCATTTCAGTAAATACAAGAGGGGGTAAAGCTTTCAATGAAATTTCAATCTGCCGTCTTAATCAAGAAGTCCATAAACATTAGTCTTAAACATGCAAAATGTAGTCTGGCATCTGGATTGGGTCACCATACAATTTACAGACCAAATGAACATTTCTGAGAAGCGAATGCTAGAAATAACTATGCTAGTTATTTTATATGAAAATCATATGCTTGAAATATTTGAAATATTTATTATCCAATAAACTGGCTTATTATGGTGGCCCTAAAAACATCTGGGCAAAATGAAATTTTTAAGTTTAACAAAAGACTATTTTTTTTTGAGAAAAAATAATTTGCCTACAGTGCTAATATCTGAACAAGTTCTGGTAAATGAAGTATACTTTCAGTTCAATTTTTTCATATGGGAAGGGTAAATATTTCAGCCCTCCAGTTCAGTCCCTCCACTGACAGTGTCTTTGACAAATATGTTCACAATACAAAACGCAAATTACCTCTATCATTCTTTTAATTGTTTTACCAAATTTAGATGATACAAAGTTAAGGCCTTCACAAACTCATTCCATTCCATTCCATTCTAGACTACAAATTTACCCAATTACAATAAGGAAAGTCATGAGGAGATTCTTTCCATACCATATCCAAAGTAAATTTACAGAATTTCATAATTAAGTCTTGTGCATTGTTGAGCTTTCAATAATTTGTTCATTTCTTCCTTCGGGTTTTTAGGAAAAGATGATCAATGTCTTCCTGCTGCCAGCTTTGTTTTTAACAACTGTAATTCACCAAAAAATTCAAACCTCATGTATTTTGACACTTCGTTTGTTGAATCCTTTGATTACAGATTTCTAGTATATTCTGAATAAAATGCCATCAAAATTAGGCAACTTTTTTTGGTAAAGTTTACAGCACTATCCTAGGACACTTTGGCTGATTTACAGAGCAATTCTTTGAATGCTTACACTTTAAAATCCAACTGATGGACAAGCAGAGGAAGTGTACTGCTATGTGGAAGTATTTTTTTGCATTCAGTCATCTTCATCACAAATAGTTTGCAGTTCAGCTATTCTGTGTATATTTTAAAAAGAAGGACGGGTGCAGTGGTTCACGCCTGTAATCCCAGCACTTTGGGAGGCCAAGGCAGGTGGATCATGAGGTCAAGAGATCAAGACCATCCTGGCCAACATGGTGAAACCCTGTCTCTACTAAAAATACAAAAATTAGTTGGGCGTGATGGCATGCGCCTGTAGTCTCAGCTACTCGGGTGGCTGAGGTGGGAGAATTGCTTGAAGCCAGGAGGCGGAGGTTGCAGTGATCTGAGATCGCGCCACTGTACTCCAGTCTGGCGATAGAGAGTCCGTCTCAATGAAAAAAAAAAAAAAAAGTGGCCAGGTATGGGGTGGCTCACACCTGTAATCCCAGCACTCTGGGAGGCTGAGCTGGGAGGATCAATTAAGACCAACCTGGGCAATACAGTGAGACCCCACCTCTATTTTTTTAAAAAAAGAACATTAGCCAGGCATGGTGGTGAGTGCCTCCTACAATTCCAGCTACTTGGGAAGCTGAGATGGGAGGACTGCCTGAGCCCAAGAGTTCATTCAAGGCTGCAGTAAGCTATAATCAGACCACTGCACTCTAGTGGGTGACAGAGCAAGTCCCTGTCTTAAAAAAAAACAAAATTCAATTATTTTGACAAATGTCTATTTCAATGGACACTGCAGCCTGTTGGGAGATAATTACGATTTATACAGGTGTAACAACGAATTTCAAGTGCCTTTCTGCTCCATAGGTTTTAGTAAGAATATTAATTTTTAGCATGATGTTGTGGCCCACCACAGTAATAAGCACACAGATGGGCAATGCCGAACTGAATTTACAGTAGCATTCACAAAGAAGTTACATCTTTGACAAAAAAAAAACCCGACGAAATTTCTAAGAATTAGGGTAAAAAGGAAACAAAGCTACTACTGGAATTGACTTAACTGATTATCTTTCTAAATCATGTGATGATATTGATACAAAACTGGCAACACTTAACTGTCTGCAAAGGTCTGCTAATGAAGCGAGCACACTAACAGTACCAGCTTCATTTTGCTTAGGTACGTAACAAAACTCACAATTGAATGTGAGCAAAATAA